GTCTTTATGTGTTTCATCTTACATGTGAATGTTGTGGGAACTATATAGTTAAAGATCCCCTCTAAACACATTTTAACACATGATTTTTTTTAACCACAAAAACAGTTAAATTACCAAATACAATAAACAATAAAGAGAGCACTGAGTAGACACCTAGCTGCATTTTCACATTCAAATAACCAAAACAATGCATAGTAGGGTTGAACTTATAAGGCAGAAAACCTTCTCTACTCCTTTAAAAGTATAACATTATACGAAGTGATGCAATATTTAGATACTTAACATACTTTTGTGTTATCAAATGTAGAGTTTCTGGTTAGGTTTGACCTTAAGAGGGACACATAGTCTGTAATGGGGTTTCTCAACAGTCATACAAGAGGCATTTCATCATGGGAGAAACAGAGAAAGGCAGTGAAGCTCAAATAGACTTGTGACTAGAACGAGGCACAAAACTCTGTGGGAAAAAAAAAAAAACCATCATCTGTTGGCTTTATTGGGCTACTGCCATGAATGTTTCTCTCTCTCACCACCTTCGTCTCGCTGAATTCAATGAGCAAGGTCGTCGAACAGCATTCTGGGAAATCAAGTCACACAGTGAATTTGTAGTACAAATGAACCCATCGACATCAAGCTTGGAGGATGGATTTTTAAAATTTCTATCACAACATCACGAGATAGCTACAATTACAGGACTGCGCTCAAAGCATTGAAACTGTTACCCACAATGCAACGCTGACAGCTAACGTCACATCTCCTCGCAAAAGGGAGGACTGCAGGATTTGTTGCAGTGTGACTTTTCTCCAAACTGGTGACTGTAGCTGCTTTTGTGACTGTCAATCTCCCATCTAAGGGCACGGTAGTTGAACGAGTTTATGTGTGTGCATGCTAGTGTGTTTTCTAGAGGTGTGTGTGTGTGTGTTATAGAAAGGCTACATCAGACAGACTTAACAAGTGTTCACTGTCTCACTCCACCCTGCTCTCATCCCCCTGACATGTCGTCGCTGGCGGCAGAAAAAACCTTGAGTCCTCCTCCTTCTTCTCTCCACACACACACACACAC